GTAAAATTTTGGCAGCCAAATCTCGACTTAACCACCAAAATTTTCCGGTGTGGCCTTAACAAATGTAACCTGATCCAACAGAGCTCAAACTCTTGCTGACCCCTCTATAGATATTTTTTGAACAGCCAGAAAGACTTACAAACAGCCAAAGTACCTGAAAATCAACAAATGTCAGTGCCCCAAATGGAAAAGAATATTTAAGCCTTTTGTAAGACTTCACCTAAGAGAGGAAGGCAGTGGAATAAGGTTTCTTCTTTCAGTGAGGGGACATGGGGATAAATCCTATTTCTGCCTTTTACTATCTGTGTGAAATCAGACAAGCAAAAGCTCTCCCAGGGCCAGGACTGCTTTATTTTTGGTTTTGCCTTTCCCTCATATATAGCAATCCAAATCCTATCCACCCATTAGAGTCCAGTTAAGATCATAAAATCCTATTCCGTGACAATTCCAAAAGACCCCTGATGAAAAATGCTATCCATCTCCAGACAGAAAACTGATGAACTCTGACTGGTGATTGAAACATACTGTTTTTTTTAAATTTTCTTTATATTTCTTGCTTTACCTTTTTATTTATTTCTTTTTTTTGCAACATGACCGACATAGAAATGTTTTGCATGATTTCCTCACATTTCTTACCTTCTCAGTGAGTGGGGAAGGGACAGCGGGGAGGAAGGAAATTTGGAATTAAAATTTTTTTAGTGGTTAAAAATAGATTTTTTTTAATTAAAAAGAGCTATAGGACCCTAGATTTACCCTTTGAAGGAACTCTAGAGGTCAGCTAAGCTAACTCCCTCATTTTACAGATGAGAAAACTGAGGCCCTAGGAATTGATTCTAAGCTCCTCCAGGAGAGAAGGGCTGTTTGGGCTTGGTTTGTTGTATGTAAATCCCCCCCCCAGTGCTTGTGACATAGCAGGTATTTAATGAATGTTTGTTGAATAAATGAATATTTTGTGTATTGCCCTGGGTTACACAAGGAATAGTCTTGATTTGAACTCAGGTCCTGTTACTCAAAATCCAACAATCTTTCCGTTATACCAGGTCAGCTTGAAAAAAATTCTTTCCTCCATAATGCCTCTAATCACTTTGTCCCACTGACTTCTCAGTCTTCCTGAATGCCACCACACCTCCCTCCCCAGCCTCTATGTACTCAGTCACATGCTTTCTTGTAGTTCCTCACAAGCAGCCTGTGTCCTGCTGTCATCTGGATAAACTTAAGGGCATGGGCTATCTTAAGATTTTTCTTTTATCTCTCCTTCCTCTCTGCCATTGTGATAATCCCACCAGGAGCACAATAAATACTTAGAATCATAGATTTAGATCTAGAATTATTAGGGATCTCAGAAACCACCTCATTCAACTCTACCCCTTTCATTTACAGATGAGGAAACTGAGGCACAGAAAGATGAAATGACCTGTCCAAGGTCACACAGGTAGTAAATGGCAGAACTAGGATTTGAACTCAGCTGTAACTCCAGATCCCATGTTCCTTCTGCTATACCACTTCTAGATGGAATTGGAAAATGACTTTTTCAGGTAGATGAATCACGTTATTAGGCTATAAGTTGTTCTGCTTTCAGTGATACACACCTGGAAATAATTCTAAGAGGCATTTTTTTCCCTTCTCTATCCCTCAACTTTCTATACATAGAAACCAAAGGAAATAACAAAGACAATCCACAAAAATGTCTTGTTAAAGTTGATGTAAATTCATTTATGATCTCCTTTAGGGAGGCAGGATCACACTAAGGTCACTAGAATAGAAAACAGGCATCCCTGCTTACATCCACTGAGATGATATCCTGACCCTCTCTGCCTCCAGACTAGCCCAGACCATACTAGCTCAGGTAGCATCATTGATTCAGAGCTAGATAACACTTTGGAGGTCATTTAATTATATAACATATAACTCATACATTATAAGGAGAAACTGAAGCATAGAAAGGATGTGATTTGCTCTTGGTCACCCAACTAGTAAGTATCCGAGGCAAGATTTGAACCCAGGTCTTTCTGACTTCAAGTCCAGCATTCTATCTACTACCCCATGCTTGATTCTCACAAGGATTTTTATAGAAACATGGTGTAAGCAGAGAGAGAGAAGCATTTCAAAGCTAAGGTGGGCTCAAGGGAAAGAAAATGACCCCAGGAATTCATCGTAGTCCAAGAGTGGAAGCTCATTCTTCCAAAGATGAATGGATCTGTCACCATTAGATTGGGATGGAGGGACAGAAGGAAGAAAGGAGGAAGAAGGAAGCAGCTCAGTGGGCATAGAAATATACATTTTATAATATATGTGTGTGCATATATTATATACATATATGTATAATGTATATGTGTGTGTGTGTATGTATGTGTGTGTACATACACATAAAAGTAGAAGGGCAGCTAGGTAGCACAGTGGATAGTGAGCCAGTTTTGGAGTCAGAAAGACTCTTTTTTCTGAGTTCAAATCTGGCCTCAGACATTTACTAGCTGTGTGACCCTGGGCAAGTCACTTAACCCTGTTTGCCTCTGTTTCCTCATCTATCAAATGAGCTGGAGAAGGAAATGGCAAACCATGCCAGTATCTTTGCCAAGAAAAGCCCAAATAGAGTCACAAAGAGTTGAACACAAATGAAAAAGAACTGAACACACACATGTGTGTATGTGTATACATATATACATATATGCATACACACATACATAGATGCATACATAAATATATGAGGGCAGCTAGCTGGCACCATAGTGGATAGAGCACTGGGCCTGGAGTCAGGAAGACTCATTTTCCTGAGTTCAAATCTGGACTCAGACACTTACTAGCTGTGTGACCCTGGGCAAGTCACTTAACCCTATTTGCCTCAGTTTCCTCATCTATCAAATGAGCTGGAGAAGGAAATGGCAAACCATGCCAGTATCTTTGCCAAGAAAACCCCAAATGGGGTTACAAAGAGTCAGACACTACTAAAAAAGACTGAACATATATAGATATAGATATATAATATATAGTGTCCCAGAAGTCTTAGTGCAGTTTTAAGCCTTAATAGTTTAACACTGTACTACCATTATTTTTGGGGATATTTTGCATATAAATCTCATATTTTTAATCATTTCATATCATGTTCACTTGTAACCAAGAAATATCAGGCAAGATTCTCTATCCTCTCTTCTACCTGCCCCTTGATCTTTATTTAAATTCTCATATTGCTGTCATTCATGTTTACCCGATGTGAGCCATAGAAACTTGATTGACCTTTCACAAGCCCTGGTGCAGGGAATCCCTGAGCTGAGTCCAGAAGGCTATTCTTCTGGACTAATCAAGGCAATCTGTCTTAAGGCACCACCTGCTATGGTCAAGTGAGATAAAGATCTTTGCACTGTGCCTGGCCCATAGTGGGTATTTAATAAATGCTTTTCCTCTTTCCTCCTCTGCCACCCCCGCCCCATCCCTTACCTTGGGTGGTATTTTAATGGGGAATAACCCATGGTTCAGGGTATCAGCCCTGAGCACACACAAGCCAGGTTCAATTTTGGAAGTTTCTCTCTTTCAATAATCTTTATACCTCCACCCATATCTGAGGCCAGCCTTTGGAAGCATTAGAATTTGGCTTGTGTCTCCCTCTCTAAAGGCCCTGCTCCCCTGTGGGCACAGAGGCTGACAAAGCATTACACAAAGAATAGGTTTATTAGAGAGTTAAGAAGAAAAGAAAAGCATTAGAAAGCTCCTTTCCAGCAAGCCTGTAAGTTCAGTACTGTCCCTCAAAATTCACAGCCCAGCACAAAGTCCCCATTCAATACCTAGTGAAAAGATTTGAGGACCCCAATGATAGGGCAGTACCTGTTGCCTCTAGGGCAAGAGTTCTTCTAGCACTCATTGTAGTGCCTGGCACATAGTAGGTACATAATAAATGTTTTTGACTGATTGATTGATATTGGTGTCCACAGGTCTGTGGATAGATTTCAAGGAGTCCCTGTGAACTTGGATGGGGGAAAAGAAATTACATCTTTATTTTCACAAACTTCTGCCTGAAATTTAGCATTTCCTTTAATTATGAATATAGGCAATCAACCACAATAGTAGGATTAGCCACGCCTATGATTTTGTCAGAGATAGAAATCACAGACATTTTCATATCACATTATAATTGTTGCAAATATCTCAAAATATTGTATACACTCATTACTTTAAAATTACAGTAGTTATTAGCCCTGCCACTATACAGATTCCTATATTCCAAATTCCTGCTTAATATTTTGTATTAAATTTAATATAGTTTATTTCAATATGATTGGTTTCCTTTGTAACCTAACATATTTTATGCATTTAAGGACATTATGAAGGGAAGCGCATCATAGACTTCACCAGATTGTCCACACGGTCCATGACACTGAAAAGGTTAAGGAGCCGAGCTCTAGACAAGGGTCTCCTCCCTTCTTCCTAGTTCTACTTCTGCTGAAGTCCCAACTCCTGCTTGGATTCCCAACTCTCTCCCTGTCTCTCTCTGTCTCTTTCTGTCTCTCCTCTCCTCTCCCTCTCTCTGCTGGGCCATCTCAGCAGCCCCCAACTCAGCTCTCCCTCTGCAGTCTCTCATGACAGTAAAGGCAATTTCAACAGGCCAGATCCCATTATGGCATTCTGGTATCAAAATCAATTGCTCCAATCTGGTGCCTGCTCAACTCTCAGCTCCATTCCCACTCCTGGGATTGCATGTGCCTGGGGACTATTTCCATTCCACAGGAGGGGAAAGACTCCCTTTGGAGTTATCACTAAAAAAAGTATTTGGAAAACAAGGAAATAAATCATTTTAGGCTTGGTTTCCTCATTTGACCAATAAGGGATTTAAACCAGATAGACAGCCTCTGAATTCTCTTACAACTCCAGGTCTGTGATAATGCAGCCTTAAAGAAAAAAATTAATTAAAAAGTAAATTAATGCAGTAGAAAAATCTCAGGCTCTGAAGCCAGAGAACCCAAGTTCAGACTGTAACTCTAATACTACCTTCGTGATCTGCTGCAAATTACCTGGGCCTCAGTTTCCTCCCCTGTTCGATCTGGATGGTGGACTTGATGGGCTTTCAAAGTCTCTTGTAGTTCCAGATCTGTGATAAGGCATCCTAAAATAAAATTAAAAGATTACCTAATAAATAATAAAACAGTAAACACAATAGGAAGAGACTGGGACTCATATAGAACCCTAGATTAGAGTAGAAGTACTTTTAGGGAGACTTTAGGGCCTCGGAAATCAGTCCTAGGCCCTGTTAACGAGCTCACTCTAGAGAAGGATTTCTTTACCTTCTTTGGTTCATAAGCAGGCCCCTTTGGCAATCTGGTAAAGCCCCTTCTCAGAAAAATGTTGTTTTTAAATTCATAATTGAAGGAAATGCTAAGTTTCAGTTAGAGGTTAGTGAAAATAAAGACATAGTTCTTTTCCCATCCAAGTTCACAGACTCTCTGACGTCTCTCCATAGACCCCGGTTGGAGAAAACTCTCCTCTTGGAAGAAAACAAGACTATTTTGCACAATTAAAATCAGACAGTTTTTCCTTTCGGATTTTACTTTGGGATATAATTACCATGTCAGTCTGAATATACCCCATCCTTCTCCCCCAAATGTAGCTTGCATAAGACCTGAGTGCCTCCTATAACTGGTATTATTTCCACTCCATATTTAATGTTTGTTTTTTTTCCCTTTCAAAGTTAATTGAACAGACATTAAGTGTCAACAACACAGAACATAGCACTATGGGTCTCTCTTTTCAGACACCTAATTTTAGGAGTCCATATTTGGTAATAACGGTCTATATTCAGAAGCATTCATTGTATAATTGAAAAAGTCACGACACTGGAGTCAAAAGAAGGTGAAAGGAAGAAATATGAAGCATCTATGATGTGCCAATCACTATGTTGAGTGCTTTACAAATATTATCTCATTTGAGCCTCACAACAACCTGGGGAGGTAGGTGCTATTACTATTCCCATTTTACAGATGGGGAAACTGAGACAGATAGTGTTAAGTGACTTGCAAGGTCATACAAAGCTAGTAAGTGTCTGAGGATGTATTTGAACTCAGGTCTTCCAGACTCCAGGCAAAGCATTTTATCCATTGTGCTACCTAGCTTCACATCTGTTCAAAAAGGAAATATATAGCCATATATAGATATGTATAGACAGACAGATAGATAGATAGATAGATAGGTAGATAGACAGATAAATGGATGGATAGATAGATGAATAGATGCATGTGTATATAGTATTTGAATATGTGTGTATGTACATATGTATATATATATACAGGTATATGGCCTCAGACACTAGCTGTGTGGCCCCGGGCAAGTCACTTAACCCTGTTTGCTTCAGTTTCCTCATCTGTAAAATGATCCAGAGAAGGAAATGGCAAACCATCCTAGTATCTTTGCCAAGAAAACCCCAAAATGGGGCCACAAAGAGTCAGACACGACTAAATGAAAATGACTGAACAACAATAGCATATATGTATATATACATGTATATGAAGATAGATACTGATTCAAAACGAGAGTACTTAGCTAGTGCAAGTCCTAGCTGAGATCTTCTTTGCTACAGAAAAAAAAAGTTAACAGTAGAATTACTAATTTTAGGGAGCGGCCTCAGCAATTGCATTGGTGTAGGAAGTACCCAGGTGAGGAATTTGCTCTCAGTATCTTCTCTGCTACTCCACTGACATCTTAGAGATTCCCAGAACCTTCAAACAGAAATGGAGCTGGGGCAGCTATGTGGTACAGTAGATAGACCTCCAGCCTTGGAGTCATGAGCACTTGAGTTCAAATCTGGCCTCAGACACTTGATACTAGTTGTGTGACCTTGGGCAAGTCACTTAACCCCATTGCCTAGAAAAAAACAAAAACAAAAACAAAACAGAAATGGAGCTACTAAATTATACATAAGGATCCCTGCAGGCCACATATTGACTTAGTTTTAAGATGTAACACTACCTGCATTTTATTGCATTTTTATATATCTGGTTAAATTTTTCTCAATTACATTTTAAAATTTTGCTTCTGACCACACTCAGGAGCATTGTGCGGCACATGCAGCCAATGTCTGACACCTCTGGTTTAGAGCATAGTAGTGCACTAGTGATTTGCCCATATGAGTCAGAGGCAAGATTTGAACTTAGGTTTTCCTGACTCTAAGGCCTGCCCTCTGTCCACTATTCTATTCTCTCTCCCCAGGAAAAACGGAAAAGAAAAGAAAAGGAAGGAAGGAAGGAAGGAAGGAAGGAAGGAAGGAAGGAAGGAAGGAAGGAAGGAAGGAAGGAAGGAAGGAGGGAAGGAGGGAAGGAGGGAAGGAGGGAAGGAGGGAAGGAGGGAAGGAGGGAAGAAAGAAAGAAAAGAAGAAGAAAAGAAAGAAAGAAAGAAAAAGAAAGAGAAGAAAGAAAGAAGAAAAGAAAGAAAGAAAAGAAAGAAAGAAAGAAAGAAAGAAAGAAAGAAGAAGGAGAAGGAAAGGAAGGAAAGAGAAGAAGAAGGAAGGAAGGAAGGAAGGAAGGAAGGAAGGAAGGAAGGAAAGCAAGAAAACAGGAGAAAAGGAAGGTTTTTTTTCTTGTTTGATAAAGACATTTTTAATAGCTAACTACTAATAGCTGGAATCAATTACCCAAAGAATTAAAAAGGATGCACTGACTGAATATTTTCCTTGTTCATGCAGGGATTTTGATTTGCTCAGCAGGCTTCCCTCTGTGATAGGAAATTCGATGAGCACTACCAACAAGAAGTCCATTGGGCTCCGTGCCTGAAGAGCTTCATATTTGAAAGTTCCCAAGCAGCAATGGCCACAAAGGAAGTAACAATGTATGAGCTACTATTCTGGTCTGCTGGAGCCTCGCTCAAGGCAGGATTAAGGGTAGGAAATAACTGGAAGAAACTCATCCACAGCTTCCCAGGCAAGCAAGAAGAGAGTTTTATAAGGAATTCTGTCCAAAGGGCAAATAGTCAGTGATTAGGTGTGTCCCTTTAGCAGGGGTCAAAGTCCAAACCCTGCATTTGATCATCTAACTCCCATGCTACCTAGAACAAAAGGGACAAGCGCCCCTTCCTCCATGATATCTCTCCAGGGCACCAGGGAGATAAATTATTAAAAAATGAAAGAACATCCATAATTCACTTTTCACATGTAGAACAAAGAGATGTGTTCTTTATTTGAAAATAGAAATTTTGGTTTCCTGCCCAGTTATATGGTCATAAAAATAAAAAAATAAAAAGATTAAATCTCAGTCTAGGCAGTCAGAGAAAACCTCCAGGCAGTTTACACTAAAAAAAAAAAAACCCACTGAAACTAATAAAAATGCTCAATAAATTTATTAAGGCTTTTTTTTCTAGTTGTAACCATATTAGTCTTTTGCCCATAGTCCAAGTACTGAGAAACAAGATATTTTCTAGACCCCTGCTCCATTTAAGAACCATGTCCCCATACTATTATTTTATCAGGACTGTAGCTTTAGAGCTAGAAGGGGCCTTAAAGGCCATTTGGTCAAATCTCTTCATTTTAAGAAGGAGAAAACTTAAGCCCAAGAAGCTAAATCACTCAAACATAAGTCACCTTCCTTTGACGTAATAAATATATTAACTTTGATAGACTTGGGGTTCATTGCGATGGATGCTCCCTTCTCTGACACAGAGCACAACCTTCTCCCACCTCCCCACCTCCACCACACACAAGCCTTCTCAACTTGGGCCACCAGAAATTCATATTTAAGGCTTCAAAAGTCCTTTTTTTCAATGGCCCTGTGAGACAGCAAATGTTATTAGTCCCATTTTACCAGTGAGGAAACTGAGCCTGAGAGAGATTGAGTGATTAACCCAAGGTCACACAGCCAACAACCATTCAATACTTTTTAAAAGGCTTATAATTTTTGTCACTACGGCTATGGAAACAGGCTACTCTTTTAAAAGAAAAATGGTCAGCATATCTGTTCCATTTCTTACATGTTTCTTTTCCTTTTCTTAGGTTCATATACAAATTCTCTCAGGATGATCTGGCTTAGCTGGATCTCAGACTAAGCTAAAAGGAGGCTTTAAAAGCTAACTTGTTTTCTTTTCTATTTTCTGAGGTAATACTGCTCATAATCTCTTGTTAACTCCTCTGCAGTGTTTTTACAAATTAAGCTTGTACTCTTAAACTCCTGTGGATCTTGACTACCATATACAGATATAGAAAACAAAATGTTTGCCATCTGGAATCTTTTTGCCTCTTGGTTGTTGCAACTATTTTAAATGGATTGAACTTTTCTGAGAAATGATGGTATTCTGAGTCAATATCTTTATTTTTATCTGTTTCTCATCTTCAGAGCCAATAACTTGTTTAAACAGGTCAGATTGCAGCTCCAGAAATGGTACAAAACATAGTGTCTTCTTCCCATCTTTATTCTTTCCTCTAATCCAGTGTTTATGTAGACTTTAACCTCTGGAAGAGTGAGATGACCTTTTTCTGACCAGTCAATAACCTGACTTCATACAGATAAAGCCACTATTTCAGAATGACATGTGACCTTAGACTTTTCAGAATGAAGGCCATATCTGTTACTATTAATTTTGCTGTTAAGATATAGAAAAGTGCATTTTAAAACTGTCATTTGGAGTTTTTACATTTACCATTTTCAAACTTTCTTCTTGAAAAGAATAAAATATTTATGATATGTAGTCATGAGGCTTCTTGGTCTTCAAGTTCTTGGGTTCTTTTCATTTGTTGAAATATTTCTCTGACTTCTCAGATTCATCATTTCTTCTTGTTATTGTTGTCAAGTGGTTTTTCAGTCATGTCTGACTCTTCGTGACCCCATTTGGGGTTTTCTTGACAAAGATACTAGAGTGGATTGCCATTTCCTTCTCCAACTCATTTTACAGATGAGGAACTGAGGTAAATAGGGTTAAGTGATTTGTCCAGGGTCACATATTTAGTAAATATCAGAAGCCAGATTTGAACTCAGGTCCTCCTGACTCCAGGTCCAGTGCTCTATCCATTATGCCACCTACCTGCCCCTCCTCATTTCTTACAGGTTAATAAATCAGTAAGATCTCAACACACCCATATACCAAAATTTTTTCAGCCCATTTTCCCAGTCAATGGGCACCCACTTTTGACTTTTCAAAGTCAAAAATTCTCACAGCATACATATGAAATGGGAAGAATTCAGTTCAATATTATTATCCCCTGCTAACTGATGAGGAAAGTAGAGTCCTGGAGCAATTAAGACTTGGCTAAGGTCACTCAGTTGTCTGAGGCAGAGTCAAAACTCAAACCCAAGTCTTCTAACTCCTGCCTTATGTCTGAGTTAGACTGTCCTCTATACTTTTTAACCATGACAAACTTGTCAGAGGAGAGAAAGTGGTGAAAGGTAAAGGGGGGAAGGAAGGTCCAGAGTTGGTAGGCAAGTGAGACCTCTCCCTAGGAAGAGAAGAAAGGCTGTTGGCTTAGACTCCTATTGCTAATGACTCCTCCCCTGCTAAGTGTGGGTCCTAGATGATTTCAGAGATACAGTTCAAGAAAATCAGCCCAGTCCTACACAATGGGGCATGTGTCAATAAGCTGTCACCTGAAAACCTGGTAACAGTAAGCCAGTTCTACCAGATACACGATGTTGTAATATTAGTCAAAAATATCCCCAGTTCTTAGAGATCATTTGTAAAGCTTCTGAAGTTATCATCATCATATATTATGTAATATTATAATTAATATTGTAGTGATATATTCTAATTAATATAATAATATTGATGCCTAGCACTTATATAGTACAAAGCACTTTACATTATTTCACTTTCTCTTCACAGCAAACCTGAAGTAGGGCACATGGGTATCACTATCTCCATTTTAGAGAGAAAGAAAGCAAGGTCCAGAGAGGTTAAATGACTTGTTCTTGGTCACACAGCTATGAAATGGTGGAGCAAGATTTGAACCAAATCAACCCTGACTCCAGGTCCAGGAATAAAGCCTTATAATTTGAGTCATCCTAGGATGATGGATTTTTGAGCCAAGAAGGACCTTAGAGATCATCTAGTCCAATCCTCTCATTTTACAGATGTCACTTGTTCAAGATCTCATACAGGGAGAGCCAGAGCAGAGTTTTGAACCCAGGTCCCTGGACTTCAGTCTCCCCACCCCCTTTCAAGGTAGATGAGGAAACCAGAGAACTGAAGTGACTTGTCCAAGGCCACGCAGGAAGTAAATGGCAGAAGCAGAATTTGAACCTAGGTCTTCTAACTCTAAATCCCACTCTCCACTACACGGCAGTCAAATTTCTCTTACTTTAAGACAATAGGTCAAAGTCACCCCTTCCTTGAGTTAGCACACCTGTCTCCTTCAAAGAATCCAACTTGTTTCTGGGGATCCTCAGTCCCTTTTCATTCTCCTCCACACAGGGATATTCACTTTTACAAGTGTCCTTAAATTCCTCTACTTGCAGAATTACAGTAGCTTTTCACCCCTACCCAACCCAGGCCTAAAAGACCAAGTGGCAACATAGTGTAGGTGGGTAGGGCAGGATTGGGTAGGGTTGGGTAAGGTAGTGTACAGTAGGGCGTGATAGGGTTGGGTAAAGTAGAATTGAGTAGGGTAGGATAAAGTACGGTGGGATTGGGTAGGGTAGGGCAGAGTAGGGTAGAGGAGGATTAGGTAGGGTAGAGGAGGATAGTGTAGGGTTGGACAGGGTACTATACAGTAGGAAAAGGTAGAGTAGGGTTGATTAGGGTAAAGGAGGATTAGGTAAGGTAGAGGAGGATAGTGTAGGGTTGGACAGGGTAGTATACAGTAGGAAAGGGTAGAGTAGGGTTGATTAGGGTAAAGGAGGATTAGGTAAGGTAGAGGAGGACAGTGTAGGGTTGGACAGGGTAGCGTACAGTAGGAAAGGGTAGAGTAGGGTTGAGTAGGATAGGGTTGAATAAGGTAGGATAAGGCATGGTAAGGTTGGGTAGGGTATTGTAGGGTAGAGTAGGATTGGGTAAAATAGAATAGGATGATGTAGGGTTGGGTAGTACACAGCAGGATAGGACAGTGTAAGGTTAGGCAGGGTAGGGTGTGGTTCGGTAAAGAGCACTGAAACTAGAAAGCCAGAAGACCCCCTCAGTTGACCTCCCTCTGACACTTCCTAGTGCTGACAATGGGCAAATGATATAACCTCTCTGAAGTTCACTTTTCTCTAACTGTAAAAGAGAGATGGCGCCGCCTGCACTCCTTCCCTCGCCGGGCTGTCTGGAGGCTCCAGTGAGGTGACAGATGTAAAGGGTTTGTCAACCTTCAAGTCTGAAACAAGAGGCAGCTATTGTTGAGCGTACAGCAAACCGCCTCCTTAGCAACAGGCTTGGGGGGGGGTGGCGCACATGGAAACACGCTGGTGGTTCCCTCATTAAACTATCACGTATCTCTTTTAAATTGGATGAGTGACCCTTAAAGTTCCTTCCAACTGGAAGTGCTCTGATTCATCTCCATGGGTCACTGTGAAAGCCTCCTTCCCTAGCTACCATCTCCATCGTAACCTTTCCAACAAACAGTAGGGTGAAAAAAAAAAACCCTTTGCATCCAAGTGGGCAAGGTCTAGCTCCTAGAGAGACTGTCAAGAATCCTCCCATGGAAACCATGATGCCTGCAAACAAATTCTCTCCTCCATATCTCTTCCTACTGCCTACAGCTGTGATCACAGTAAATTAGAGAGTCCCTTTTCTGAGCGAGAAGAAAATGTTCCACATGGAGTCAGCGGAAATTGTTGCTTCCTTTTAGCCTTGGCAAGAGGCTAACTCAATTCAGTTTCACAAGTAGAAAGGAGCTGCCTCTAGGTGCCTAGCACTGTGTGCTCTGAACAGCTGACTTTGGAGAGGGAGAGATTACAGCTATGTGGTTGATGCTGGGTGAAGAGGAAGAACGTTAAGAGTTTAGAGTTGACTGATCATCGTATTAGAGTTTTAGATCTGGAAGAGGATGTCGATGCCTAGCACGATGCCTGCCGCAAAGTTGGCGCTTAATGGATGCTCCTGTACTGACCAACATCTAGTCCAATCCCCCCATTCTACAGACAAGAAAACTGGGGCTCAAAAGGTGAAGATAGAAGAGGGGAAAGGAATTTGATTCAGAAACGAAATCACCATGCAGACTTCAACTATGGCTGATGGGGAAGAAGAATTTCACCCAAAATGAAAAAACAAAAACACTTACAGGCTGACTTGACTTTGGCATCCCCTCAGAAAAGTCTAGTAAGTCAGAACACAGAGAAACCCTGCTTTAGACCAGCACTCGTTTTTAATTACTGTTCCTCGTTGTTGTTCAGGCCTCAGTCCTGTCCAGTTCTATGTGACCTCAAAATCTATGGGGTTTTCTTGGCAAAGATACCAGAATGGTTTGCAATTTCCTTCTCTACTGTGTCCCCATTTTACAGATGAGGAACTGAGGTAAATAGGAGGTAAGTGACTGCCCAGGGTCACATAGGCAGTAAGTATCTGATGTCAAATTTGAACTCAGCTCTTCCTGACTCCAAGCCAGGTGCTCTATCCACTGCACCACCTGGCTGCCTCACACCCACCCCAAAGGCATGATATTACCAATTCGCAGACAAAGAAATTCAGGAAAAGAAAGAAATCCATTCTGCTGCAGCCCAACCAGCTAACTTGTCAATTTCCGCCTTGGACATTCCATCTCTATCGCCTACCATTGCATAGACTATCCCTCATACCCAGAATGTTCTCCTTCGTCTCCTCTACTTTTTGGAATCCCTAGCTTCCATTAAGGCTCAGGTAAGGTGCAACCTTCTTCCGGGGGCCTTTCCTGATTCGGTGGTAGGCCCCCATTCCCCCACACACACATACACTCATCACTTTGCATCTATATTGTATTTTTTACCTACTTACATGATCCAGCTGCACCCCTTCAGTACAATACAAACTCAAGGGAAAGGACAGTCTCTGCAGCACTCAGCAGGCACCTAATGAATGTGTTTTGATTGTGCAATTGATTATGGACAGTAGATAAAATTATCTATCCACGGTCACCCATTGAGATAGGAAGAGGACTGCAATGGTGCAGGCTCCAAGTCTGACACATCCCTCCATGCCCACTTGTATATCCAAGCCAAGGAAAGAAGGAAACTGTTTGTTTTGGTCAAGAAACGAATGGAGGTTGGATCTGCGCCTTCACTGGCATAGGAAACCCCTAGGCTCCAGGGGTGGGGAACCCCTTAAGAAAAAGATTTGTTCTGTAAACTTGGACTCAGTTAAAAAGCCACACCCAAGACCTAGAAGGCCTCAAGGCTGCAGGTTCCCCACCAGTGGAGATGGCCACCTTCTCTGAAATTTATACAGGAGTCTAAGAAAGTTACCAAAAGCCCTGAGAGGCCATGACTCACCCAGTGTCACAGTAAGTCTAGATCACAGGTAGGAATGAATCTATTATGCCACCTTCTGAAATTGTAATTGGAAAGAGTGGCCTAGAGCATGGAACGCTTGTCAGTCAGATAGTCAAACAGCATTTATTAAGCACTTACTATATGCAAGGCACAGTGTGGCAATTAGTCATATGAAAGCCACACCAAAGAACAAAACAACACAAAAAGAAAAACAAAAACAAACCCAGCCCCCAAGAAACCATATTGACCCCTTGTGATGAATCATCTTAATGAGTTGGTCACACAGCTGGTAAATGTAAGGGGCAAGACTCTGGGGCAGCTAGGTGGCACAGTGGATAGAGTACCAGCCCTGGATTCAGGAGGACCTGAGTTCAAATCTGGACTCAGATATATAACATTTACTAGCTGTGTGACCTTGGGCAAGTCATTTAACCCCATTGCCTAACCAAAAAGAAAAAAAAAAGACTTGAACCCAAATCTTTCTCGTTAGCTCCCAAAGTTAGCTTCCTATCTGCTAAACACACTGCCTCTTGTTTTGTATTCTATTTAAAAGTCAATCCGAATAAACTCACCTCTGGTGGTATCTGGTAGTGAAAAGAGCTTTCTCCTTAAAGTCAAAGAATACAGCCTGGACACCTCCTGTGTGACCTTGAGGCAAGGTCCTGTTTCCTCACCTGGAAAATAGAGTTAACTATGCCAGGCAAGCCAGACCTACCTCCCAGGGTTGTTGTGAGGATCAAAGGAGATGATCTTATGTGAAAACACCATGCCCTTTCAAACTTAAGACTCAGTCTTGTTATTATTGCTTGTTATAGAAGAATTCACTCAAAGAAGGAATGCATTCAGGACACAGAAGCCTGGATTGGGGAACAGCCTCCCTGTCAAAGTCTCAAGAACAATGTGTGTGACGCGCCAGACCTGTCCCAACACGCCTACCTCCTACATGGGCACCCAGCTACGCCACTTGCTCAAACATATCTGCTGTGGCCTTACAAAAAGACAAAGAGGATGACCTTTCCTTAACAAAGGACTGGATGGAATCCTGCAGAGCAGGACGTCAGGCCTGCCTCTCTTAGGCCTCTGTTTCACGTTTATATTGCCCCTTCTAAATTGGGAGAACTCCAGGCCTTCACACAGGCCAAGAGTAATGCTCACAGCACCCTCAGAAATGAGAAGAAAGCACCAGAAACAATAATAGGAGCGTTGTTTGGCCAGTAATTCATTGGCTCTTCTCAGTTCTCTCCCCACCTCCATGCCCTCTTACTTCAAAAAATAAACCCCATACTACAAACCCTGACAAAGTCACTTGAAATGCAGAATGAATGAGACGTACATCGCCAGACATAACCATTGTGTCGATTCATTTTGCTTGCTTATACTTATTTTTTGTAAAGTAGAGTGGGAATTGATGAAAATTGATGGCAATTTTTTTAAGGGTATCAGTAAACCTTTTTTTAAAAGGAAAAATACTAACAATTAGAAGAACTCAGGAAAGATCTCATGTAGAAGATGGCCTTTCCGTTGTACTTTGAAGGCAGCTAGAAATTTTATGAAGATAAGGTCCAGGAAACTTTTTTTTATGGCATCATCTTTTTTTTAAATTTATGGAATAAAACAAGCATTTCCATAACATAGTATAATAAAAAAAAGATGACTGCACATGAAACTGCAAATCTATTATGTACAACTTGCTATTCCTTTAAAATATAGAATAAAGTTATCATGTAGATTTCTTATTTTCTTTTTTTTCTTCCCTTCCTTCTCCTCATCCTACAGATGGCTACCATTAGACACAAACAGGTGTGTGTGTGTGTAAAATATATATATGTATGTAAAATTATCCTATATATACTTCTATTTACTACGCAGATAGCTTCTTCCTTCATATGTCCTTTATAGTTAATTTGGATATTTCTAATAGTTTTATTTGCTCAAAGTTGTTCCTAAAACAATTGAATTATCTAAACATTTTGGAGAGCAATCTGGAATTATACTCCAAGAGTTATTAAACTGCCTATACCCTTTGGCTCAGCAATACTGTTACTACTAGGTCTAGTTCCAAAGATGATTAGGGAAAAGGGAAAAGAACTAATGTTCTAAAATGTTTATGACAGCTCTCTTTGTGGTGGCAAAGAACTAGAAACTGCAGGGAAGCACATCCATTGGGAAATGGCTGAATAAGTTGTATATGATTGAGAGGAATACTACTATGTTATAAAAAATGATGAGTGCAATGATCTTAGAAAAACATGGAAAGACCTGCATAAAATAATGAGGAGTGAAATGAGCAGAATCAAGAGAACACTCTATACAGTAACAGCTATAATGTTTTAAGAAAATTTTTTTAAAAATATATTAATATTCATTCTCAAAAAGGTTGGGAACCTCTGAAATAGACTAAGAACGGATTTCCCAACTGCAACAGTATTCATGCAATATGTTTTCTTTCATAAGGAAATATGACTTAAGTATAATACACTATAAGCTTAAGTAAGGGACAATCTTAACCCATAACAATTCTATTCAGTCAATGCTACTACTACTACAAAATGAAATAGTGCCAAGTAACTCATTTTTTTCCTGGTCGAATTTCAGGATACCTTTTTAAGAGTTAGTGATGAAGTCACAAATGTTTATGTAGCATCTGTATGGTCCATGAAGGCAAGGACCACACTGATTACTAACAGAGAGCTACAACCAAGAATTCTTGTACTTGGGCAAATTCCATCACCAAGGTGGGGAGAGAGGCATTTCAGGTAGTGCAGGAGACAATCCATACTGAGTGGTCTCACCAACCTGTCCCAAAGCAAATGAAGCCTGTATCCCCTTGGCATGGCTAATAGCCCTCTAAAAGGTATTGGAAAGGAAAGACCCAGGAAAAGGACTCCATGGCACAAGTGCAAAATACAGGAAAATAATTTCAAGAGGCAGAGACCTTCTGTGGCTCAAAGCAGAACCAGTCAAACAGTTTACACAAAGATCACACTAATATACAGGAAAATACCATTGAAAGACTTCAGAACACTGATCAATATGGCGACTAATTATGACTTCTGAAGGCTGGAGTTTAAACTTGTCTCCTGCTTCATTTCTGGAAGAGAGATGGAAGGAAGGCCAGGCACAGCATTCAGAATGATCCCCTATAAAGTAAGAGAATCGTGGGCCTTGGAAGCAGGACCCCCACCCATGCCAGCAGCCTGAGTCAAAGCCCCAATCCCAAGATTAGAACTCATGGGGCCATAGATTTGGGATAGTAAAGGGATATTAGAGGCCATCTAGTCCAATGCCTTCATTTTACAGATGAGGAAACTGAAACCCAGAGACGTTAAGTAATTGACCGAGGTCATTCAGGGTATAAGTTGTAGAGTCAGAATCTGAACCCAGATCCTCTGAGTCCACATCCAGCACATGTGTTCTATTGTACCAGAAGATGCCCAAATCTTAGGTTGTACTAGTTACAACTCCAGCTTCACACCTGTAAATGCTTAATGAATGCAGAGTTCAGCCCTCAGCATACAACAGCTTCTAATCAAAGTCGTGGTGATTCTCATTCTGTCTTCCTAATTGTCAGTGATCTAAGGGGTTCTGTTTTCCCTGTGTCAGAGTTCCCGGGAGTAAACTATATCCATGAGCAACACGATGATTGAATGGGTGTGTGCTGAAGATTAGAATGGTTCCATTTGCATGTTTCAAGATAATGAGATTCCCATCTATCAAGAACATAGCAATGGGACTCACAATCATGGAGCTATTAATGGGACTCAGAATCATGGAGCTATTCAACATTTACATGGGAAGCATCATTTCCTCTTGAGGCTGGTAATTCACTGTCTCTTTTTTCCCTCACTCAGCTGTCTTCATGGAAGCAAAAGGCTGAATAGGACCTCCAGAAGTCACCTAGTCCCTGCCTCGTGGCTCCAGAAACCTTCCAAAACCTAGGAACGCTTTAATTTTAGTGACCTCCACAGATGGAGGTTAAACAACCTTTCAGTAACCTTTCCCGTGCCTTACGCTTCCCTCATTAGAAAATCAGAGAATAAAGGTACCTTAGAACTTCAAGTCTAGAAGCTGGAATAGCTATTAGTAATTATCTAGATGATAAACTAGAATTTCAAGTCTAACCCAAGGGCAACTAAGCGGCAAAGTTGATAAGTGCCAGGCCCATAGTTAGGAAGACTTGAGTTCAAATCCAGCTTCAGACACTTCCTAGCTATGTAACCCCGGACAAGTCACTTCACCCTGTTTGCCTCAGTTTCCTCACCTGTAAAATGAGCTGAAGAAGGAAATGGCAAAACACTCCAGTATCTTTGCCAAGAAAACCCCAAATGGGGTCACGAAGAGTCAGACATGACTGAAATGACTGAACAACAAAAAGAGTCTAATCAAACCCATTAAATTCCAGGGACAAGTAACTTGCCCAAGGTCACACAGGCAGTAAGAGAAAAGAGGCAGGATTTGAACCCATGTGCTCCAATTCCAGAGCCATTGCATCCTTTCCACTATGGAGGTTACCACCCTTAATGCATTCCTGAAGCCAGATCTCCTAACACATCAGAGTGAGAGCCTGTCTTTCTTCCCTGCTGGCTACAGAAATGAATTTTAACTAGCCATAGAATTAACAAGAACTGCTTTCTTTTAGCAGGAGTGCCTTTCGTAGGGTGCTCTGTTCCAAGTGCTCAACACAGGGCGCCATAATTTCAGAAGAACCCTGGGAAGCTAGAGACAGTCCAGAGGAGGGCATTCAGAAGGGTGAAAAGAATCAAGCCATCTGAGTATCAGGAGAAGGAACTGGGGATAGCTTACATAGAGGGGAGAAGACTCAGAAGAGCGCATCTGGTAGCCTTCTTCCAATACTGAGGCAGCTGGGTGGTGTAGTGGATAGAGCTGCTACGCCTGGAGTCAGGAAGATCTGAGTTCAAATCCAGGCTCAGAAACTTCGTAGTTATGTGACCCTTGGCATGTCCCTCAACCTCTTTTTGCCTCAGTTTCCTCAACTGTAAAATTTTGATAACAATAGCATCTACTTCCCAGGATTGTTTTGAGGAACAAATGAAATAATAGTTGTAAAGTATAGTGCCCAGGTACACGGTAAGCCCTATATAAATGTTAGTTGTTATTCTTATTATTACTTGAAGGGCCATCTCATAGAAAAGGAATGAGGCTAGTTCTGATTGGCACCAGAGGACGGAAGGGGAACAACAGGGTGAAAGTTTTAAAGAGGCCAATTTCTTGTTGAGATCAGGTTTAAAGCTTCCTGCCAATTAGAGCTATCAACAAATGGAGCCAGTTGCCTTGAGAGGCAGGTTCACTCTGTGGGTTGGGGGAGTCATTCAAGCATCAGTTGGATGACTACTCATAAGATACGCTGAAGAAGAAATTCTTTGAAGTATTGGTTGGGCAAGGACACAGGTGCTTTCTAGCTCTCAAAATCGTGCGATTTTGTAGCAATGAAATAAACATAAAAAGAGACAGTTATGGTAGTAGTGGAATTGTTTTGGGGTCTGGTCTAGACTGGTGATTAGATGGGGGAACTTCCAGTGAGGAAACTGGCCATCCCAAAGCACATGTTCTTATGGTAAAGTCGACAAGCATACCCACTTCATGGCCAGGCACTGTGCCCAAGGATACAAGGGAAGGGGGGGGGGAGATGGAAAACCCTCGTCCTAAAGGAGCTCATAGTCTGAAAGGGGAGACGACATACAAATAACTATGTACAAACAAGATAGAAGATAAATTGGGAGTAGTCTCAGCAGGAATATACTAAGATTAAGGAGGACCAGGAAAAGTTTCTAGCAGAAGGTGGGACTCCAACTGAAGGACCCAGGGAAGCCAGGAAGCAGAGATGAAGACAAAGATGGTCTTAAATAATTGCCTGGTGCTATGAACTACTACAGAGCAAAATAAGAAGAAGCAGTTGAACCATTTATACAATAACATTGTAAAGACAAATAACTTTGAAAGACTTAAGAACACACAGCAATGAAATGCTCAGCCATGAATCCAGAGGACTAATAATGAAACATGCTACCTACCTTCTGAGAGAGAAGTGATAGATTCAGGGTAAAGAATGACATATGTACTTTTGGATGTGGCAAATGTAGGAATTTACTTGGCTTGATTATACACATTTGTTACAAGGATTTTTTTGTTTGAAATTTGAGGAAGCAGTGGAAAAAATAAATGGTCATTGATTGAAAAAATTTTAAAAAATTAAGAGAGATGAAGGGAAGGGGGAAAAAGAGTTGATAGGATACTAGAAAGTAAGAATGACTTGCCCAGCCAGTATGTGTCAAAGGGAGAAACTTGAATTTAGGTCTTAATGATTGCCAAAGCTGATTTTCTGTATATCTAACATGGACATAGGCTAAGGCTGGAAGACACCTTTAGAGTCCTTAAATCCAAATCCCCATTTTACAGATTAATAAGCTAAGGCCCAGAGACTTGCCCAGGATCACACAGCTAGTAAGGCTCTGAGGCAGGATCCAAACGTAGCTTTTCTTGACTCTTTTATATGCCTTTGGCTGCATTGATGAAATGTTTCCGACTTGACAAAGT